TATAAGTTACCATTATAATCTCCATTTAAGTCCCCACAGAAGCTCACAAAGAGCCTGAGGTATTTGAAATTAATACAGCATGATACTCTAGATTGACTACTGCAGTATAATACTTTGTCTCTTAATACCTGCAGGCTTTCACACATGCCACATTGCTTCCCCCCTTTCATTAAGTAACTACCACACCTATGCTAGAAGCAAGGCAGACCACACAAATATCTAAATACCACAATGGTATCTCCAGATCAATGAGCAGAAATACTGCAACATTCACCAAAAGTACTAAGTGCGGCCTTTGCAAAGCAATAGGCTGCTTTTGCTCAAGGGAGGTGTATCACATCATTGACTGGATCATCAGTCTACCTTAAAGAAGGCAGGATTCAGAGATCTTGATTACCTGCCTAGGTCTGCAAGAGTAACCTTAGCATATGCCTCAGTTATTCCATCTCTAAAACAGGGAGTGATACCGACCTGTCTTTCCAAGCCACTACTATTGAAGGAAATTAAAAGCTCCAAATTGAGTGGCTTATATGCTACAAATAGCAAAAGGGAATGTTTGCCGTCTTAAGGGTATTCCTATATGCAGGCCTTTTTTTGCCTGATGCACCGCAATGTTTTAGATGACTGCGACCTTGCACCAAAAGCTCTGTCTTCTTCCTCTGTTCCTGCCCTTCCTCCTCATGCCTCACCAGCCCTCCCTGGATGTTAGAGCTCTTACCTCCCTAGTTCTCACTAAGGGACTGCACACAGTAATGCAATTAATACAGTCTTAAAGGAATCTCTTATCCTGAAAAACAGAAGACATTTACAGATCAAGAGAAGGCAGTCCTTTAATGCTGGCTCTCGCATCTGTTTTAATTTCATTGTGCCTGTGTCTTTCGGGTTCATTCCCAACTATGTGTTGTAGAAGACCATGTGAAGGAAAGGAGGCAGACAGAGCTCTTTGCTCTCACCCACATGAGGCTCCATACAACACAGTGTTCAACTTCAGATTGCTCTTGGGACAGGTTCAAACATCTAGGCACACAGCTCCCCGATAGCCCTATTCCAGAGAAACATAACAGTGACTGAAAACTACCAGTGTTAGTACAACTTTTTGGTTCCCAGTTGCTTATTTTTTGCATCTTCTGCTTAAACACTGACACATCTGGAAGTGGATAAAAGACTTAAAGAAAAACACCTGACACACATTAACCATGGTGTGTTAAACTTGGCCAGCTGTCAGCCACCCGCCCAGCCACTCACACTCATTTTCCCTCCTCAACAGGGCTGGGGGAGAGAAGAAGCACCAGCTCATGGGTCTAGATGAAGACAGGGAAATCATTCACCAATCACCATCATAGGCAAAACAGACTTATCTTGTGGGAAAAATAATTCAATTTATTGCAAATTAAAAGAGTGCTGACTAGGGAGAAATAAAGACCTTTCTCCCTGTCCACTCCCCCTTTTTTCCCAGGCTCAACTTCATTCCTGACTCCTCTACCTTCCCCACACCCCGAGCAGCACAGAGTTTTGAGGGCTGGGATGGTTATGGTCAGTCCATGACAGCTCCCCTCTGCTCTTCCTTCTTCCTCACACTTCACCCCTGACTGCAGCACGGTCTCTCCACAGGCCGCAGGGAAATACCTGCTCTGCTGGGGTCTCTCCAGGAGCTGAAGGGGAACTGCTGCTGAGGCGCCCGGAGCACCCCCTCCCTTCCATCTGCTCTCACTCTGGTGCTCGCAGGGCTGTTTCTCACACTTTTCCCCCTCACTCCTCACTGCTGGGCAGCGTTTTACCCTTTCTGAAATACGCTTCCCCTGAGGCACCGCCAGCAGGCCCGAGGGGCTGAGGGGTGGGTGGGTTGGAGCTGGCTGGAACCGGTCGAGTCCAGCACAGGGCAGCCCCAGCTGCTCCTCACAGAGGCCGCCCTGCAGCCCCCACTGCCATCACCTGGGCACGTAAACCCCCTTTGACAAGGTTTCCAAGGTCCAACAGAGACATAGCTATTCTCCAAATAGCTACAATTAGGTCTTTCTGTGTCTGGTGAGGCTACGGTGCCTGCCTGTGTTGTACAAAGTGCAAGCTTGGAGGGCACAAACATGGTGGTTGTTCCTGAGGAGAATCCAAGGCAAGGCAGTTAACATTGCATTGCTCAAACATTTCAGTGCACAGCAGCAGCTTTCAGATTTAAGATTTTTTGGACAAAAGGGTTGAAATGCTCTCCTTATCACATCTTCTGGGATTCCAGGAATGAATCACACTTGTGAGAACTGCCACATTCAATCAGATCCATCTCACACCAGTGTCTGATCTGTTCTGCTAATAGCAACTAGTTCATGTTACGAGGGCATGCAAGCAACCAGCCGCATACAGAACAACAGTTCACCTAACAAATCCTTCTGTTTCCTTTCATGGACCACTTAGAAACCTTTTAAGCTAGCCTGCTTTGGGAGCACTACACTTGAAGCACTGACAGGATTATCTGCTGCGACTGCCTGACCTCTTCTGTACTCCCCTCATGTTTCAGTGCCCACACTACCCTGAGGCGATGATCAGCTCCACAATATCACTAGATGTTGCATGAAAACGTCCTTATTGTTCCCCTTCGTGTTTACTCCGCTGCCCTTTATTACATTCTCTTCTTAGATATCCCAGTTAGTCTCTGTGTCTCACTTAGTCACGTCTCCTGGGATTCAGCCCACCACTCGGGGAAAGATGGAGACAATCAGTCAAAAGCTCACTCCAAAACTCCCACCCTCACAGTTCCAAGTTGAACCTCCAGCTAATTTTCTTCATCTTGCAGCCTGCAAGATGAAGAAAATGTCCCTTCCCAGCCACAAGTTAAATCTCACAGACCAACTCTGCGTCCTTCCTTGGAGCTTCTGCTGTGTTCTGGCACAGCTCTCCTCTGTCTGTTCCACAAGGAATTTGACATTGAGAGCTGGTATGTCATCCTACCCTGCTTCCACCTGAATAAAGTCCCAGATACACATTTTAGAGCTTTTTTCAGCTCCCAATGGCCAATGGATATATTCTTGTGACAACGCAGCTAGTTTTTCATGATTGAAGCCCCCATTGACAAAGATTTCTCTTCTTAGTTCCTGAGTTCTGCTTTTCTCCCCCCTTTTGTCTTCTGAATTTTTTTCTCTCCCACAATACATGATTATTATTTCACTTCTTTTGGTATTTTATTCTCACTTAGTACACAGTATATCATCTTCATTTGTCTTCAGTTTTATTCTAATACATCATAATAGTCTGGCTTTCTTTTTCTTTTCCCATCCAACAAATCATCAGCCAGACTGTTGTCCTTGTTCTCTGGCACAGGAAAATTGCCAAGTTAGAAATCCATTTTTCATCTACCTGTCTGTTTCTTCCCCTACCTTCTGTTGTATTCCTTTGCTCATGCCCCAGACATCCCATTTGTTGGCTCTGCATACCTGGAGCTTTCTGTACTGTTTCCTCTTTTCTCCTTCAATGTTTTTAGAGGCTGGCCAGAATGCCACCCTTACCTCTAACCACACTACTAACCTTCAAAATCTTTGTTTTGCAAAGTCTGCCTCTCAGCTAGCAATTTCTGTTTCTAGCTATGCAAGCATATTTCATCCTCCACACATGTTCACAGTCTCTTTTTCTCCACAGGCGGCCTGAAGTGCTTACTCAGTATTCATTGTTGTCTACTTCCCCAGCTTTTGGACTTAAAGCCTGCCAGTCTTGCTGCCACACAAACTGTCCTGTTTACAGGCTTCAAAGCTAATTGGAAGAGCCCTGTCAGCAATTACAACTGTACTCTTGGTTCAGTTCAGCAGCATTACGTTCAAGCATTGTAAAAGAAGTGCCAGAAGGGAACTGGCACGACTATTTCTACTCAAACTGTAACATCACCACCTCATAAAGCTGATGATTCCAATAAATGAATTGGACTCAACAAGGGCAAAATTAGAAAAGTCTCAATTTGAGAGTCAATGGTAATCATTCAGCTGTTATAGTCAGGCAAAGCAATGCTTCCAAATCCACGAAGAAGTCCTTTTAGACTCAGTGCCTCAAGATCATGCACAAGACGTAAGATCTCATTCCACTACTAAAGATGCAGGATTTGAGCTATTCCTCAGGATACTACCCAGAAAAGGATAAAACCCACAATGAACACATTTTAAGTCGCTGCCTTCTCAAACGTGACCAGACACTAAGAATCACTTCAGCAGATGAGGACAAAAGTTAGCATAACTAATGCAACATTTTCCTTGAAGTGAACTGGAGATTTTGGTAAGTACATAAAAAGAAGGAAGTAGCTTCTACTAAACGTAAAGCTGGCCATCAAGCCCACAAATGGAGCATAACCTTTTTTGCCCTGTAGCTAGTTTTACTACCCTACCAAAACTGCTCTTAGACCATTACATCTAACAGAAAATGGCAAAGTGATTTAAGGACTTCAAAATTCCGCAGTGGTATCAGAAAGAATCCACATCATAAAAAATTTCTAACACAATAGCTATTTGAGTTGTTCCTGCAGAGAAAACTCTATGTTAGCATTTTCTCCATATAACGTATTTCCACTAAAATAACAACTCTGATTTCTCTGAAATAACTAATTGTTGCTACTGTTTTTAAAAATTTTAGTAACAAGGAGTTGATAGGAGGTGAGAAAAACAGGAAATCTCATTTAATAGGGTGGTCGTCAATGATTAATCATTCAAAAATAAGACAAATTGGCTATGCATCAACATAATAAAACCCATATTGTACACAATACCTAACAAAACAATAAATAGAAGTCTGAGGTTCTGTCAAAGGAAGACGATGACATATGATTTTCACTTGATTTTAAAAAAAGCAAAACAGTAGCTTTTAGGATTTTCTTTTTAGGCATGAATTCAGAGACAAACAGTATTTACATGTATGCATCTAACAGACAACTGGATATATTTTAGCTAAGTTTTTAGCAAAAATGCCTGGGCGGTTGGGTTTTTTCATTGTAATTTTTGTTACACTGAAGATACTGAGCTAATCTTACTTACTGAGAACTATTGAAACATCTGTTTTTCTCCTGAACTCCACAATCCAGCAGCGCTCCAGGATTACCACTTCAGAGACTTCAGAACTCTGTGAGACAAAGATGACAAAATGTTAACATTTGGAACCTGACTGGGAAGTCCTTCTGTTTGGCTGTTCACAGCCAACGCAACATGCAGATATAAAGACAACAAAGCATAATAGTCACTAGGCAGATGGATACAGGCATTCTTTAATTACTGATCTGTGCCATCCTACTTCAGCTCAATGAGCTATAATGGGAATAAACTGTCAGAAAAGACCACGCAGGAAACTAAGAAAAAAGAAGCTCAGTAATTCATTTTTTTCATAATTCAAAAGTTTAGATGCCACCGTATTCCTAAGCAAATCAGGTAAGGCCAGCTCATTCCAACTTCCATATTTACTAATAAGGCTGAATCAGATTCTATTCAAAAAGTAGGATACTTTCAAGTGAAGAAAATAACATGCAATCTTACAGTAGGCATTTCTCTTCAATTTTTATTTAAAAGGAATTTCTTTATCCTCACTTGAAACTTTGAATGTTGTCTCTGGCTATGCAATTCAAACGACATTAAGTGATACAGACCTATTGCAGAGGGCGATATGATACAAATTACCACTATCATTTTTTGTGAGCACTCCGCAGAGAAGATGCAGACTCTTCTTCTAGTTTATTAAGTGTGACTCATTTTTCAGAAGAGTGAAGCTATCAATCACTCCCTCAGAATTAATCTTTTTTCCCTTGAAACTTTTATTATCCATTTTTCATCCCTAATATCTGGTAACAAATAACCCTTAGAACATGCACCCATACGCTTCCTCATTGCAGGCTCCCAACATGAATGTCACAGAGCTCATTCTCTACTTCAGTGAGATTCTGCAGGTATTAGTGTAAATTTTTATTTTAACATTCCTTCCTCAGGTACTTCTTTATTCCAAGTGATCCTAAAGATGAAACATTTTTCATATTGTAGACCAATTTGTCCAAAAGCCTGAACTTTAGTTCCATATATTTGACACAACCAATGACTTCATAAAACAGTTCATATTTAGAACGCCTGCCTAACATACACAAGTTTTCTTGTCTGCCTCTTTCTCTGCATTTATACTGCGTTATTTGGCCTGCCAGAATCAGACTCAAAACTTTTTGCCAAGAGTTTCACGTTCATCTTTAAATGGATGGTTTTATCCTGCATTTTCTAACAAAAGACCCTTGACTTACATAGTAATACCATTGTCTTTCATAAGCAAAAAAATGAAAATTTAATACTGTAGGACTGTAAGACTACAGTAAGACTGAGGAGTAAACAAACAGGTAACATTTCAGAAAGTCTAACAAGGATTTCCTTGACAAAGTCTATATTTGTTCCCTCCCTCCAACCTTTTACCGCTTATTAAATGAATACTCCAAAGTCAGTTATCAAAGCACAAATCAACATCTAAAGGTGAAAAAAGGTTAAAATAAAACAGAGGAATAGGGGAAAAGAGCACATGATGTTATACTGAAATGTGGCAGAAGTGAAGAGAGAAGGTTTAATAGACTAAGAAAAAACAATCAGACTTATCTAGAAACCACTTATACTTTGACTTCTGTTAAGTGTTATTCAGGCTAGGCTGGTCTAAAAGGGATGTATTGTCCTGTAGACTGAAAATCAGCTAACTGATTGTTTAAAAAAAAAAAAAAGAAAAGAAAATGAGAAAGTAGTGAAACAGTGCAGTGAGTTTGGGGAGAAATACAAGTGCTACATTGGGAAATTTTATTATTTAAAGAATCCAGCAAGTCGAGCATACATGGTAACCCAGAGGTGATTCTCAGGTGCTATTGAGTGAGGCATTCTTTGAGGTTCTACCAGGGAAAGTAAAATAGAAGAAGTCTTTATGATCAACAGCTAAAGTCAGCTTGGGAAAATAGGCAATAATAGTTCAAAAAACAGCAGACTAATTAGGGAGAGTTCTCCACTGCAGTGATGCGGATAACTATTTTAGTTCTTTGGATTTTGAAACAAGATATCAACACCAATAACAGTGTTCCAGATAACTCTCACCTGAAAAATAGATAATGCAGCCTGATTCTTCCAAGAGCCGGCAACCTTTCAGAAAAGGTACAACCAAAAGAAGGGGTTCATTTCAGAAGTTAATGAAAGTCTGAGACAATTGAACACTCAGTTGTGAGTACACGAACGACTCCTATCCAGTCTCTGTCCAAAAAATAGTCAATCAACTCTAACAGCTTTTCCCCTTTTCATGTCTACAGAAGATGGTTCCTCTGCTGATATCCATGCCCCACATGCAAACGTAACAACTCCTTAGACTTAACATTTCCTCCAAAACATACATCTGCAGTAAGTGAAAGCCTGTCAGTATATAAAGAGAAAGCAACTCCCTGTTGCATGGCTTTCAGACAAGTCAGGTATTTGGAAAGGCCAGGAATGAAGAATCATAGCTTCCATGTAGTTTGCTATAGTTGCCAAGACTTAAAGGCTTGATGTTTGGATTTGTACATGAAAAGCATACATATAATACAAACAAATTGGCAAGTGGTTAACAAAAAGTAACTATTAAATAATTAACAAGGATTTGTATTAATAAGGTTTGTCCCACAATGCACTTGACACACAACAGTAACTACAAACACAAGAGAGGATGGTTCAGAGTATTTCAAGCTTTCTGCATTTTAAGACAGCAGATGCTGCAGCACAAGAGCCTCTTTAACGACAAGTAGCTTCGCTCCCTACCCCAGTGGAAGCTGGAATGAAACCATGCTGCAACTTCAAATGAATCTGAATGCTTTCCCAAGGTACACAATAAAGTACAGCGATCAGAGGATATGCATTTACTTCTACATGTAAGAGGCAACAAAAAAGGAAACAAGAAAAAAAAAAGATGAAAGAGCATAAGGCAGCCAGAAAATAAAGTAGATGTTGCTGCAAAACATCTCCCACATCCTGACACAAAACTGAAGACCTTCAGAATTCCTATTATTGCAGACTTTTCATCATTTAGATGAGCTATGCTCTGTCGGTCACGCAAAAAACTAACAAGAAATTTATTTATAAATGCAATGACAAAATTGTAATCAAGGGAACCATTATGCGTATCTGATAGAGATCAGCTTTGTTTTTCAGTATCTGAAGAGAACCAAAATTTATCTCTTACTTTAAGTGCATAATATGTGCTTATTTGGACTAGCTTTTTTTTTTTCCCCCTAGGTTTGATTTTAATAAAAGGGTAACTTCTAATGATCTGGTCTTTACACACGGCAAATAGGATCAAAATCAGATCTGTAGTAATGTGTTACAGTCCAATATATTGGGGTTTTTTTCTTCCTACCATTGTTAATTTTATGTAATTGTTACAAAAAACTTACTAGATCAATCCAAACGCCAAACAGCAACTAGGCCTTGAACTATTACATCTTTCTTTAAATACGGACAAAGTCTACATGCACCCCATCACCCCCCAAGCTCAGGAAATTGTTTTAAACCACTGATTTGAGAAGAAAATTAAATGATTCAGGAATCTAACTTAAACATCCTAGTAAAACTGCTAAAGTAGAAGAGTCCCCAACCTAGAATTAGTTGGAAACCTTTTCAATTCACTTTGCCAAATGCTTGGCCAAGCGTTGGTATCACTATGCTGTTCTAAATCCGAAGTACTACGGTACTACTAAATCCACTACTGTCTACTGTAACTGTCATGAGTTTCAAATCAGAGTAGTCAAGTCATCCCTATTTCTGTGGAATCCATACCTAAAACTGAACTAAGACATAGTCGTACCAAAACACGTGAGCAGGTGTCTGCTAACCGCATATTCATACCTGCATAACTGTACACAACTCCTTTTAATGCAAAGGAACCTTAATGATATTAAACTGGCAACCGTCATTCAAGTACGTAGCTCCAGATTCACGAGCAAACCCAAGCATAAAACTTCTCTATGCAATGTATGAGAGTGTGAAATATAACTTTTTTGCAGTTAGAAAGAGTGAAAACCAAAAACACATTCTACAGCAGTGAGGGAAGCACACAGTATTGGAAATTACACTGGTACATTTTTTCAGTTGTTTCTAACAATCCACACCAAATTTGTAACTGGAATGTGTAACTACATTATTGCAGACTCCAGCCTACCATTTTTCTTTGGACTTGCGAGAAAAAAAAAAAAGCTTTCAAAAACATGTAAGCACTGAGAAACTTTTAAAACTGTCAGAGTGGCACATTTGAGCTATTTTTGCAGTGCTGTAGAGCTGACTTGATGTACCATCATGGGGGGAAAGAGGGTCATTATGAGAGGGTTTTACAATAGGAGATTTGTTGCTGTAGGGAGGGGGACCAAAAAAAAAAAAATTATCTACTGTTAGCAATACCAAGTCAAGAACTAAACTGACAGTTAAAATTAGAAGTGACATTCCAAGCAATTCATTTGTGTTAAAACAGTACGTAGAAAAGTAAAGCTATAGCATTGTAGGAAAAAAAAAAAAGAAAAAAAACA